CCCCAAAACCCCAAAACCCCAAAACCCCAAAACCCCTCAAATTAATAAAAATATTGAAAATAGATGGCTGATCATACAAAAAGAAACCTGAGACACAAGATTCGTAGAGAAATAGTGCTTGATGAAGATACCATGAGGTAAGTGTGCTCTACTATCTTTCTAGAAACTGAGTCGAAAATATTATCCAAAGAGATTACTTCCCTGATCTGTATAAACTCCAAGAGCTTAAAAAGTTCTTAAAGCTAGAAACAGAGATGAGTAGAGCTGTAAGTTATCAGTCTTATCTTCTAGAGCGCACTAAAGAATATTCCATCCGTTCTAGCCAAATCTACTCCAATGCACGATGAATATGACCCAGTTAAAAGAATAATGACTAAAGCTTTAAATATATCTGAAGGAATAGAGATAAATGAAGGTAAGCATTTTCAATAACTCTAAAGATGATGAAAAATGAAAAAAACTCACTCGTGGTTTAAGCTTAGACCAATTTTTAACAAAATACACAAGTGAAGATACCTCTGCATTTTTGAAATTACAAGAAAAAGATCAGGCAAAACTTCGAGAAAGAATCGAATGGATGTTTTCCCAAGCTGATAGGGCTAATCAATTGAACCAACTTGCCATAGAAGGAGGTGGAAAAGATGGAATCAAAGAAATTGATTCTGCTAACCCTAAAGCTATTGAATCAGATCAAAAACTTCTTGCTATAGGATACTCTAAAGGAGAAGGAAAAGTTTCAGACTCAAAAGTAATAGCAAAACTTGATGAGAATCCTGATAAAGAAAAAGTTAGAATCCCTCAAATGCAGATATGCACATCTGAGGCTAAAAATAGTCTATTCTTCCAGCCTGAGGATAACTATGTTCCTGTTCTGACTCTTGATGAAATTGAAGACAGAGTAGGGAAAGATAAAGAAATTAAAAGAGCAAATACCAGACTTCCAACAGAGTTTTACACTGAGTTTATGAAAGATAGGAGTCAAAAGAAAATAGTTCATGAAATAGATCTCACTGAGGAACAACTCAAAGATGGCCATAATTATAAAGGAAGCACTCCTATCGTCCATGGCTACAAACTTGTCAAGAAAATGGGAAGAGATGTTGAAGATATGCAGCAAAATCAAAAATTTGATCCTGTTTTGGCAATGCATAAACTCAAAAATTTCTTAGAAAAAGGTGAATCTGATGAGAAATCAGGAGGATTTAAGATTCCTAAAAGCTCTACCAGAGAACAACTCAGCCACCAGATGGTGCACCAAGCTGAATCTAGGAAGAAAAGAGAACAAAAAGCTAAAGATAAAAAGAGATTAGAAACTCTTCAAAGAGTTGCGGGGACACCTTCAAGAGCAAAGAAAGGATATGATGGTTTATCAGATGCAGCAAAAAGGTTGGCTTCTTCTGTCAGAGGAGGAAGTGGTCTCAGACAAAGCATTCTCAGATCATCAACTAGAAAAGGTGGAATAACAGATAAAGTTACCCCTAATGTATTTAAGCGCTAATTATTAGAATTTCAACAATCATCCAATATTTTGGGGTTTTGGGGTTTTGGGGTTTTGGGGTTTTGGGG